CCTGCCTTACAGGGGGGCTCCGAGGAGCCATTGACAATTTCAAGCGCCCAGGGAACCAGAGCATCAGCACCCTGAGTTACAGGGCTGCCCTGGGCCCAGAGGCCGCGGGAGGCTCCTTCTCCCCAAAGTGGGGAATCCACAAGCCTGCATCCCGCTAACGGGTCAGGCACCCCACAGCTGCCAGCGGAGCAAATGGCTCCGGACCAAAGCCTGGCTTAAGGCGGGTCCGCAACACCCATGGAACCGCAGAGCTCAACCTTTCCCCCGCCAGCGGAGCCAGACGGCCAAATGCCGAGGCTCGGGCCCCAAGCCCTGCTTACAGGGAGGGTGAAAACCCGGCCCTACTTCTAGTGGCCCCAGGCTCATGGAAAGCGGGGGACACGGAGACCCACCTGGCTACAGGGGGCTCCTTGCAGTGAGAGACGCGGGGCTACGCTTGACCCTGCTCACAGGGCGGTATCCCCACGCACCATCAATTACAGTGATGCCAGAGACGTCCAGAAGCCGAAACGGCTTCTGCCGAGACCCAATTGGACAACGCACCCCAGCTACGGGGTGCTGAAACACAGCATGCATCATAATTTATCGTTCATCTCCTTTAGAGAATCTGTTTTCACAGTATTCATATAGGCCATATTATATATATATATATCGCTTTTATATTGCTTTTTATGCAATAGTTGGCATTATATCGTAGGCATCAGTCATATACTAAGTTTCCATAGTCCATCACGTTTAGACAAATAGTTTAGACAAAGAGCCAGACGGCTAAAATTAAGGGGGTGGGGAATTGGCTCTGCCCTGACTACAGGGAGGCCCTGGGGTCCGGCAAGCTCCACAGTCCTCCCGGGTGCGGAGAGAGCAGCTGTGCCCCTGATTACAGGGGGCCGCTCCCCCCAGGCAGCCAAAGGAGCAACAAGGCAAAAGGCCGATTACAATCGCAAAGACCCGAGCCCTGCTTACAGGGAGGTCGCCCAGCACAAAACAATCCAGGCACCTCACGTGCCAGCACTGCTCTCCTCTACCTACAGCCCCGCTAACAGGGCGAAGCCTTTGCCCAGGGTGTCCTCCTCTTTGCCCGTCTTCCATCTGCCGCTCCCTCTTGCCTCGCCGTTCCACACGACGCCTCCTCCTTCTTCTGCGCTGGCTGCTGCAAACAAAGCACAAGCCATTAGACATGCGTTCGAAGCTCCACCTCCTGTGCCCGACAGAAACATGGAACCCAAGACCCTAAGGCAGGGCCCCACTCCACCCACCCCCCAGACAAGGAGAGCCTCAGAGGTCCTCCTCCCCCTTTGCCGTAACAAGGCCAACCAAAAGCAGCTTTTCTTACCGTGTTGTACACGCAGAGGACCTTCATGCGGCGCTGCGGCAGGGCTCCAAGGCTGGCACCAAGGGCAAATGAAAGCTGGGCACACACAGCAACAGCCCAAGAGCCTGGACCCCTGGCTAACAGGGGGGCTCCGAGGAGCCATTGACAATTTCAAGTGCCCAGGGAACCAGAGCATCAGCACCCTGAGTTACAGGGCTGCCCTGGGCCCAGAGGCCGCGGGAGGCTCCTTCTCCCCAAAGTGGGGAATCCACAAGCCTGCATCCCGCTAACGGGTCAGGCACCCCACAGCTGCCAGCGGAGCAAAAGGCTCCGGACCAAAGCCTGCTTAAGGCAGGGTCCGCAACACCCATGGAACCGCAGAGCTCAACCTTTCCCCCGCCAGCGGAGCGAGATGGCTAAATACCGAGGCTCGGGCCCCAAGCCCTGCTTACAGGGAGGGTGAAAACCCGGCCCTGCTTCTAGAGGCCCCAGGCCCATGTAAAGCGGGGGACACGGAGACCCACCTGGCTACTGGGGGCTCCTTGCAGCGAGAGACACGGGGCTACGCTTGACCCTGCTTACAGGGCGGTACCCCATGCACCAGCAGCGCCACAACACTGTGTGGAGCACGAGGCTCCCACCCACGGACCGGACCGGCCCGCCTGGCTGTGCCACAACTCCACCGCTTCAGGAGCCCTACGGGCAGACTAAGCCCACGCAATACCGACTCCAAGCAGATCCCCGACCACAACAGCAGCACCCCAGCCCTGCACCCTCTAGAGGGCCGCGAGGGGGCTGTTCGTTCCTGCTGGCTGACTAGAGCAACTGGCTCCGGCACCTGCTTACAGGCCGGCCCTGCTCGCGGGGACAGAGGGCTCCGCACCTCGTGACACAGACCCCGACGACGGGGTTGTCACGAGCACTAGTCTCCGGCAGACACACAAGCACACGGGCGCAGACCCAGGCCCTGACTACAGGGTGCCGCCGCCCATCCTACTCTTGTGTCGCTTGAATGCCATAAAAAAAGGGCCAAGCCCGGACTCCGCCGTCCCTATCAAATTCTCTGTGCTCAGGCTGCTGCAAGGCCTCGGTCCCCCCAGGGAAGTGTGGGCTAAGCTGCAGCAATTTCTAGGAGAGCCCTAAGGAAAAACTCAATCGCTCGCTCACACGCACCTGGAGAAGGAGCAAAGAACAGAGAAAAGGGACAGACAACGTCCCTGTGGGGAAGGAGACCAGCGCAGCCAACCACAGGGCAGCAAGACGCCACCCGCGAGCATAAGGCGAGAATCTCAGACCCGCCCAGAAATTACAGTGATGCCAGAGACGTCCAGAAGCCGAAACGGCTTCTGCCGAGACCCAATTGGACAACGCACCCCAGCTACGGCGTGCTGAAACACAGCATGCATCAGAATTTATCGTTCATCTCCTTTAGAGAATCTGTTTTCACTGTATTCATATAGGTCATATTATATATATATCGCTTTTATATTGCTTTTTATGCAATAGTTGGCATTATATCAGTAGGCATCAGTCATATACTAAGTTTCCATAGCCCATCACGTTTAGACAAATAGTTTAGACAAAGAGCCAGACGGCTAAAATTAAGGGGGTGGGGAATTGGCTCTGCCCTGACTACAGGGAGGCCCTGGGGTCCGGCAAGCTCCACAGTCCTCCCGGGAGCGGAGAGAGCAGCTGTGCCCCTGATTACAGGGGGCCGCTCCCCCCAGGCAGCCAAAGGAGCAACAAGGCTAAAGGCCGATTACAATCGCAAAGACCCGAGCCCTGCTTACAGGGAGGTCGCCCAGCACAAAACAATCCAGGCACCTCACGTGCCAGCACTGCTCTCCTCTACCTACAGCCCCGCTAACAGGGCGAAGCCTTTGCCCAGGGTGTCCTCCTCTTTGCCCGTCTTCCATCTGCCGCTCCCTCTTGCCTCGCCGTTCCACACGACGCCTCCTCCTTCTTCTGCGCTGGCTGCTGCAAACAAAGCACAAGCCATTAGACATGGGTTCGAAGCTCCACCTCCTGTGCCCGACAGAAACATGGAACCCAAGACCCTAAGGCAGGGCCCCACTCCACCCACCCCCCAGACAAGGAGAGCCTCAGAGGTCCTCCTCCCCCTTTGCCGTAACAAGGCCAACCAAAAGCAGCTTTTCTTACCGTGTTGTACACGCAGAGGACCTTCATGCGGCGCTGCGGCAGGGCTCCAAGGCTGGCACCAAGGGCAAATGAAAGCTGGGCACACACAGCAACGGCCCAAGAGCCTGGACCCCTGCCTTACAGGGGGGCTCCGAGGAGCCATTGACAATTTCAAGTGCCCAGGGAACCAGAGCATCAGCACCCTGAGTTACAGGGCTGCCCTGGGCCCAGAGGCCGCGGGAGGCTCCTTCTCCCCAAAGTGGGGAATCCACAAGCCTGCATCCCGCTAACGGGTCAGGCACCCCACAGCTGCCAGCGGAGCAAAAGGCTCCGGACCAAAGCCTGCTTAAGGCAGGGTCCGCAACACCCATGGAACCGCAGAGCTCAACCTTTCCCCCGCCAGCGGAGCCAGATGGCCGAATGCCGAGGCTCGGGCCCCTGGCCATGCTTACAGGGAGGGTGAAAACCCGGCCCTGCTTCTAGTGGCCCCAAGCTCATGGAAAGCGGGGGACACGGAGACCCACCTGGCTACAGGGGGCTCCTTGCAGTGAGAGACGCGGGGCTACGCTTGACCCTGCTCACAGGGCGGTATCCCACGCACCATCAATTACAGTGATGCCAGAGACGTCCAGAAGCCGAAACGGCTTCTGCCGAGACCCAATTGGACAACGCACCCCAGCTACGGCGTGCTGAAACACAGCATGCATCATAATTTATCGTTCATCTCCTTTAGAGAATCTGTTTTCACAGTATTCATATAGGCCATATTATATATATATATATCGCTTTTATATTGCTTTTTATGCAATAGTTGGCATTATATCGTAGGCATCAGTCATATACTAAGTTTCCATAGTCCATCACGTTTAGACAAATAGTTTAGACAAAGAGCCAGACGGCTAAAATTAAGGGGGTGGGGAATTGGCTCTGCCCTGACTACAGGGAGGCCCTGGGGTCCGGCAAGCTCCACAGTCCTCCCGGGTGCGGAGAGAGCAGCTGTGCCCCCTGATTACAGGGGGCCGCTCCCCCCAGGCAGCCAAAGGAGCAACAAGGCTAAAGGCCGATTACAATCGCAAAGACCCGAGCCCTGCTTACAGGGAGGTCGCCCAGCACAAAACAATCCAGGCACCTCACGTGCCAGCACTGCTCTCCTCTACCTACAGCCCCGCTAACAGGGCGAAGCCTTTGCCCAGGGTGTCCTCCTCTTTGCCCGTCTTCCATCTGCCGCTCCCTCTTGCCTCGCCGTTCCACACAACGCCTCCTCCTTCTTCTGCGCTGGCTGCTGCAAACAAAGCACAAGCCATTAGACATGGGTTCGAAGCTCCTGTGCCCGACAGAAACATGGAACCCAAGACCCTAAGGCAGGGCCCCACTCCACCCACCCCCCAGACAAGGAGAGCCTCAGAGGTCCTCCTCCCCCTTTGCAGTAACAAGGCCAACCAAAAGCAGCTTTTCTTACCGTGTTGTACACGCAGAGGACCTTCATGCGGCGCTGCGGCAGGGCTCCAAGGCTGGCACCAAGGGCAAATGAAAGCTGGGCACACACAGCAACAGCCCAAGAGCCTGGACCCCTGGCTAACAGGGGGGCTCCGAGGAGCCATTGACAATTTCAAGTGCCCAGGGAACCAGAGCATCAGCACCCTGAGTTACAGGGCTGCCCTGGGCCCAGAGGCCGCGGGAGGCTCCTTCTCCCCAAAGTGGGGAATCCACAAGCCTGCATCCCGCTAACGGGTCAGGCACCCCACAGCTGCCAGCGGAGCAAAAGGCTCCGGACCAAAGCCTGCTTAAGGCGGGTCCGCAACACCCATGGAACCGCAGAGCTCAACCTTTCCCCCGCCAGCGGAGCGAGATGGCTAAATACCGAGGCTCGGGCCCCAAGCCCTGCTTACAGGGAGGGTGAAAACCCGGCCCTGCTTCTAGAGGCCCCAGGCCCATGTAAAGCGGGGGACACGGAGACCCACCTGGCTACTGGGGGCTCCTTGCAGCGAGAGACACGGGGCTACGCTTGACCCTGCTTACAGGGCGGTACCCCATGCACCAGCAGCGCCACAACACTGTGTGGAGCACGAGGCTCCCACCCACGGACCGGACCGGCCCGCCTGGCTGTGCCACAACTCCACCGCTTCAGGAGCCCTACGGGCAGACTAAGCCCACGCAATACCGACTCCAAGCAGATCCCCGACCACAACAGCAGCACCCCAGCCCGCACCCTCTAGAGGGCCGCGAGGGGGCTGTTCGTTCCTGCTGGCTGACTAGAGCAACTGGCTCCGGCACCTGCTTACAGGCCGGCCCTGCTCGCGGGGACAGAGGGCTCCGCACCTCGTGACACAGACCCCGACGACGGGGTTGTCACGAGCACTAGTCTCCGGCAGACACACAAGCACACGGGCGCAGACCCAGGCCCTGACTACAGGGTGCCGCCGCCCATCCTACTCTTGTGTCGCTTGAATGCCATAAAAAAAGGGCCAAGCCCGGACTCCGCCGTCCCTATCAAATTCTCTGTGCTCAGGCTGCTGCAAGGCCTCGGTCCCCCCAGGGAAGTGTGGGCTAAGCTGCAGCAATTTCTAGGAGAGCCCTAAGGAAAAACTCAATCGCTCGCTCACACGCACCTGGAGAAGGAGCAAAGAACAGAGAAAAGGGACAGACAACGTCCCTGTGGGGAAGGAGACCAGCGCAGCCAACCACAGGGCAGCAAGACGCCACCCGCGAGCATAAGGCGAGAATCTCAGACCCGCCCAGAAATTACAGTGATGCCAGAGACGTCCAGAAGCCGAAACGGCTTCTGCCGAGACCCAATTGGACAATGCACCCCAGCTACGGCGTGCTGAAACACAGCATGCATCAGAATTTATCGTTCATCTCCTTTAGAGAATCTGTTTTCACTGTATTCATATAGGTCATATTATATATATATATCGCTTTTATATTGCTTTTTATGCAATAGTTGGCATTATATCATAGGCATCAGTCATATACTAAGTTTCCATAGCCCATCACGTTTAGACAAATAGTTTAGACAAAGAGCCAGACGGCTAAAATTAAGGGGGTGGGGAATTGGCTCTGCCCTGACTACAGGGAGGCCCTGGGGTCCGGCAAGCTCCACAGTCCTCCCGGGTGCGGAGAGAGCAGCTGTGCCCCTGATTACAGGGGGCCGCTCCCCCCAGGCAGCCAAAGGAGCAACAAGGCAAAAGGCCGATTACAATCGCAAAGACCCGAGCCCTGCTTACAGGGAGGTCGCCCAGCACAAAACAATCCAGGCACCTCACGTGCCAGCACTGCTCTCCTCTACCTACAGCCCCGCTAACAGGGCGAAGCCTTTGCCCAGGGTGTCCTCCTCTTTACCCGTCTTCCATCTGCCGCTCCCTCTTCCCGCTCGCTCTTGCCTCGCCGTTCCACACGACGCCTCCTCCTTCTTCTGCGCTGGCTGCTGCAAACAAAGCACAAGCCATTAGACATGGGTTTGAAGCTCCACCTCCTGTGCCAGAAAGAAATGGGGAGGACTTTCAAGTTTGTGTTCATTAGGGTGGTTGTTTTGAGGAGCTGCGTTTGGATCCCTGGCTTTGTCTTACCAACACCAACTTAAATCAACTTTTCTCACCATCCTGAGGCACAGAGCTCCTCAAGCTACTTCTGCCGTGCGGCTCCAACCCTGGGTAAGTAGGGTAGGGCGCACACAGAAGCAGCCTGAGCACCTGCACCCTTGCTTACAGAGTGGTCACACAGTAGAAAACCAACCCGGGCACCTAATGTGCCAGCGCTGTTCTGCTTACTGTAGCCCTGCTGACAGGGCAGTGCCTTTACTTTTCCCCCTCTTCAGTCTTCTGGTGGTCTTCTTGTCACCCATTGTTGCGTCACAGTTCCACATGACACGTCTTCTTTCTTGTGCACTGGCTGCTACCAGCTGAAGTCCTTACCTGTTGACAGGGCAGTACCTTTGTCCAGGCTGTTTTTTCCTTCATTCATCATTGCTGCTACTCTCCTCTTCTTACTCATTCATACTGTTCATTCCCTTTGATTTATGTTGTGTTTTTTTTCCCCTAGCACCTGCTGCCAAAGGAACAACATACAGCTTAAATGGAGATTACTGTCTACCAGTATCTGCTCCTAAAGACCAGCTATCTAGCAAATAAAAATTACTACACATTGCATTTTTCTTAGCATTCTTGTTTTTCTTCTTTCATATACTCTTTTTTTGTTTTTTTTTTTTTGTTTTTTTTTTTTTACATCATCCATTCCTCCACGCTATCGCTGAGAGTTAGCCAATAGGGACATCTGAACAAGGCTTTCTCCAACTTTCTCACAACCTCATCAGGAGAATTAAAAATAAAGCCTCCATCAACCATCCCACCACACCTACAGACATTGGTTGTATTAGCGCCTACCCAAAAATCCCAAACCGACTCCATGCTGCCGCCCCTTCCAGTCCCCTCAGCACGGCCCTGCTCACTCACCGCTCGCCCCCCCTCCATTACCTCAGCCCAGGCGGGCTCCTCAGCACCGTCTCCTCTTCTCCCCACATCGTCCCGTGCAGCCCCCCGACACCGCCCCACCACACTCCCACTCGGTACCGACACCTCACCGCCCCCCGATGGGGCTGCGCACCGCGATCTCCTCAGGAGGACAGGCCGGCAGAGCGCGCAGCTGCAGCACATCCACCGTCCGCTCAGGCACTGACCAGACGGGTTACCTCACAAAGCCTTATATACCCGCCCGGCCCGCCCACCAGCCAATAGCAACGCGGAACGGCACCCGCCACTTTTGCCTTGGCAATCGCGCCCGCCCATTGGTGGAAATGGGCTCGCGGCCGGCTTTGATTGGTCGAGGCCTCTGAGGGTAACGGCTGTTGCTGGCGGCGCCGAGGTGCCCGCGGCCCTGCCCGTCACTCTGTCAATTATGAGGGGGTTGTGTCCGTCACAGCGGCCCGCGCCCTGCGGAGGGGCCCTGGGAAAACCCGTGCGCACCCGGCCAAATAAAAAGCTAAAAACCGCCTGTTTGCAAGTGTTCTGTCCGGGAACATGTTATACATCCCTTTCCAGGAAATAGGTGGCCCCAAATTAATTAAAAATACATATTTTGGTTAATAAATTTTCCACAGAAATTTCTAATATCACTGCCTCCACAAAAAAAATCCCTTTGACCTCAGAAATATTTCTGAGAAAAGGGAATATTATTACAGGGAAAACAGTTAAAAAAAGAAGCCTGATGTCAGGTAGCCCTTTCTCAAATCTTCTTACAGACTCTGATCCAACTTGCTCTTAAAACTCTAAAGAAATATCATATCCTACCACAGCAGTTTATTCTTTAATTTCAGGCTGCAGTTTTTGAACTTTTACTGCCAGGGTCACAAAGTGTCTGAGCAGCTCAGCTGTGGCAAAAAGCATTCAGCTGAGATCTATTTGGCAGCTGTGCATCCCTAGCTCTTGACTCTTTTTTTCTTGAGTGGAAGGCATACTAAAATGCACTTCATTTTACAAACATGTTAATGAAAACGAGTATTTTAACTATCCACTTGTCATGAGAAATACAAATAATTTTAAAGGTTTTATAAAAGTAACTGATTGAAAAATGGTAAGCTTCGGTTAAGCTGAAGTAAACAGGCCCAGGTCAGGGTAGATTTTAGCCGTGCAGCCTCTCAAATGTGGTGGTGTTGCTGCACCCCCATAAATTCTGATGTACCTGGTTTTCTTGTCCTGCAGCTGATGACAGCTTGTGGCTTGTACTGGGAGAGAGGGGGTCTAAGAGCTTTTCAGGGGGTTCCAAAGGATTTCTGTGGATTGTGGAGCCTGGAGCATATCCCCCAGGCGAAGTCAGCACTTACCACATGGTTTCTAATGTTTCAGCAACTTGCACAAAAGCACGTATTACAAGTCATATCCACATATCAGTTCTTGCCTGCGAATTTAATGCTTTGTGTATTTTTCTTTGTTTATTGGTTTTTGACAAAGGTATCATTCCAACTGTCCTTCTCAGCTCTACCTTGCAACAGCACACACATTCTGCCTCAGAACTGCCTTTAGTAGCTGTCACTAATACAGGAGCAACTCCTTATATTAATGTGATTTACACAAAAGTTGTAGAAAACAGTAAATTTTCAGTATAGTCTAATGAATACTGAGATCTTTGCAACACAAGGTGTAAAAACTAAGGGATCCTACGATACATGGCAGAGCCAGCTGCTGATAGCAAGCCCTGCTGTAAAGATTTTGAAGCCTTGATTATGTAAATAAGGGAGATTATTCCATCCACAAAATTCTAGCAAGATAATCATCAAACAATAAATCACCACAACTCAGGCAAACGCAAATGAATTTTGAACATTATCACCATAATTACAACTGTATTGCTGTTATTATCTGAGCAGCATAGAGGACATCAGGCCCTAGATATTCCCCACTGGTTGCAATTTAAATTCAACTTAACTTCAAAGAAGGCCAAATGGAGGAAGACACCTGTTTAATGCTTATATGACATTTTTGAATGAGGTTGGGGTGAAAGGGAGAAGGAAAGTGGGAGTGAGAAATCATGGATATCACATTAATAATAACATGATAACAATGTTTACTTAGAAATTTTCCATTTCAGTGCTTTTTGACAGAGGTGGGGTGTTGGGAATTGGCATAATTGTTCGATCTAAGCTTGCTTTAAGCAACCAGGGGTAGGCCTTAGAAATCTCAGGGCCTGCTGTAGCTGAGCAAACCAAGCTGCCAGAGTAACTGTGAGAAGCTCCCACAGCAATGACTCCCACATCACCCAATTAAGGAACTCAGAAAATATTGTTATCAGCAGCTGGCCTCAAGGACTAGGCCTACGCGACCGTTAAGCACAAAGGGGGTTGTTTTCCTAATTTCTAATCAAAAGGTGGTGTTATTTTCTTAAAGGTTTGTCTGGGTGCTTTTGACCAATAATCTTGTGTGAAACACTGTCCACCCCTGTAAAATTCACTATAAAAGTTGGGCTATTCGGGCAATAAAATGGTGAAGCATGATCTGACTCTGCTGGTGTCTGTCGTGCTTTCGTCCGTGCTTCGCAACATTTGGATATACTAAAAGCAGAGTCATGATATAAACCTGACTTCCTTCCAGTCTAATATCTTGTGTATCAGGAAAAGTAAGATCACAGGTATGAATTGGGCATACTTGTCTGGCACAAGTGTTTAGGCTAGCATTTTACGCTCAGGTCTATGTCATTACAGAATCACATTTTGGGTATTCCTGCCTAGCTAAGTCTAAGCTAGCTTTCTCATAGACCTACTAAGCCTCTGTGTGGACACAACCTCAATGTCTATCTAGTTTTAGTGACATAAAATTACAGATTGATTTTTAAGGAGGTAGCCAGAAGTAGACTCATGTGCATTACAGGATAGAAAAAAATGATTATTTGCTTTTTTTTTGTTTGCTTGTTTTTGGTTTGGTTTGGTTTTCATCTTGTTGATTGTTTCATTTTGTTCCAACATCTTTCTCTCATGAGTTTGTATTCAGGGTAATGTTTAACATATCGATAAAGGTACATTAATCAAAATCTGACAGTTAAAGTCCTTCTGCCATCTCCTATTAACTGAGGTTTTATCCCATTCTTTTATGTAGAAGAATGTATTTTAGATAGTGATTTGAATAGAATTACTCTTGTATTTGTCATAAGAATAGAGAAGTAATATCTGGATACTCAGTTCTGTAATCTGTTAGCAGCAGCATAAAAATAGTGCTTTTATATATGTAATGCCAACGTTTCATGTTGGCATGTTTGAATACATCTTTCCCAACCAAATACGTCAACATCACAGGAGCCACAGAGAAGAAATGTTAGTTGTTTCAAATCAAATAGCAATGATATAACATCTGACTGAGACAGCTCTTCACTCAGCTAGTTCTGTGAGCTGGTATTCATATTGTGCATTGCATTGGAGGTTTTATTTATTTATTTATTTTTCTTGAGAATGCAGATCAGAGTTTTTCCTCCAAACAATTAATTTGATTTCTTACATGCAATGGATAGATGACCATTCCCTACCACCTAACATTCTGCAGAAACCTGCACTTAAGAGCAAAGGCCATTGTTTCATTGCAGCCACTAAGATATTTTTAGGGTCTTGCAACTGAACCTTATTTCTAATTCTCTAATTTTTTATTATTATTTTTTTTTACAGCTTTTCATTGCTACCTAGTCTTGTAGCCATTTTTGCAGAGTCACCAGTGCATTTAATACAAACTTTACAGTTTATATATAAACTTTAAAGTTTCTGTGGGGCAGGATTGTCCATTAATCCACTGGCTGATATAAAGTGGATTACTCAGCTTTTTTGATAAAATGCATTTGCTCCACAGACATATATGTTGAGAAAACCTGAAGTACAGAAAGGGTTAAAATTGCATTGACTTCATGTGCTGTTTACCTTTTTATCAGATGGGATGCAAAAAAAAAAAAAAAAAGTGAATAAGCTATAGAAGAAAAAGGAAAGAAAGAAAAATGAAAAGAGCTCTGAATCTGGGTAAGTATGATAAAATGGTGCAAAGCAAGGACATGGTCTGATTTGTGATTGAACAATTATCAAGAGCTAGATAAACTGCTGTCTGGCATTTGCAACTCTGTAAACCTGAACACTTTCATATCTACCAGACCCCAAAGGTGTCTGCCAAATGTCTTTATTGAAAATGTACTATGTAGAAGAAAATGTAAAGGGCAAGTCACTAAAATAAATCCCTGAATTCATCTCTAGTGAGTCTATCACAAAGGCTTGATCTGCTAACCTTATTTATAAAACAAAACAAAACAAACAAACAACAGGCAATAGCTATCACTAAAGGTTTGCTTAATAATATAGTTTTTGTCCCATGTAAAATTTTCATCCACAAAGATAAATGTACCATAAGATTGAATAAATGGGGAAGTGCTGTTTTAAGTAGATAACACTATAAGCTTGCATGCTGCAAAGTAATTAAAGGACATCATATACTATTATACAAGATCAATACACACTTGAGACCAGGGCAGGATCTATTTCTGAAATGATATAGCTCACGCTGATTTCTATCACAATTTCAGTATTGATCTGATGAGAAGATACTTCATAGCTTGTTTGCAGGGTTTTGATGGCTGCTTCTGTCTCCAGAGTGAAATTAAAGTCAAGGCTGTTTGCATGTCTACAAACCGCCCTTAGCAGGTCTCAGCCAGAGTCCTCAGTAAACAAGTTATATTTATTTGAAATGATCAGTCCCAGCTCCGTTTTAACAATTTCTGGCACACTGTTTTTCATTAATAAAATTCTTTGATGGGAATGGTAAACATATGAAGCAATATATATATATAATATATACGTATACATATATAGAGAGGGAGCATATTACTTTCTGTTACATGTTGTTTGCCCTTTTATGTATGAAGAAGCACTATGGGGTATTCTGATCAGAAAAATGCTGGTTGGGAAATTTGGCAATGACTCTGGATTGGCTTTACTCCAGCTAGTTGGTAGAGTTAGTATAAACAACTATTTGAATGAAAAGAATTAAATTAAGGTAGCATGGCAATGTGTAATTGTACTATTGCTTACAGGCAAGACAGCTAACAGAAAAGGCTCACCTAATTTTTCTTAGTCCGTCAGAATTAGAAGCTCCAGAAAGACACCTGCAGACTTTCATTTACACACAGGTCCAAGATAGGCTTTCCAT